TGTGATGTGTAAGAATGATTGGTTTGTATTATTTAATTATATGAATAATATTAAAGATAGTGAGATTGGGTTAAAGTTGAGTTAAATTTTGAGTTGAAATAAAAATGAGTAAATTATCTTGTATGCATGCAAGCCCTAAGTTTCTAGTGTTTATGACGTACTCCCGTTAAAATCTTCAAGATAAAAGGTTCACTTTGATAACGACTATTAGATAGCTATATCTCGTTTATTGCCATTACTTGTCTCTATTGTTTATGTAAAGTTTTTTCTATTCTTGTGAAAGCTATTTTGCTTAAGAATCCCCTTACCTCTACCACAGATACCTTGAAGGACATTGTTTATGCTTATTGTGAAAACTTATATGGGTAAATGATTTGATCTGAACAGCGTTGCTTGTCTTTTACTTGATTAATTCTTATGAGAATGTCTTGGCAATAAAACTACATTTTTTCTCATGGGCTGATCGTAATGAGTATTCTGGGGTCACCTTGAGGTATTTTATTTTGCCATTCAAATAAAGCTTACCATTTTACGAATTCGAGCAAGTGAACTGAAATTGGCCTACTTGTCTCAATTAGCTCAAATGTTTGTTTTGAGCATACTTTGGTCCACTCCTCCTCTTTTTTTTTTTAATAGGTTTATTTTATTTTTTTTATCGGTGTCCATTCCTTTTTTTTTTTTTGGACCTCTTAATGTGGTTCAAGTTATAGTTTATTCTCATTCACATTATAGATGGTGCTAGCAAGCCTCATAATCCATTGGATTTGCCAATCTCAAAACATGCATGTTTGTTTACATGTGCATGTGTAGGGTGAGTTTGGTGGTTATGGTTTTCTCTCCCCTCTCCTCTCCCCCATTTCATCTCCTTTACTCTGATTTATTGGAGCATTGGAATATCACTTGTGAGTTGTCCCACATTTATTCCATAGTGCAAATTGGCCTTGTTCATAAGCCTAATGGGTTTCGCCTCCTATCACCAATTGGTTTTGGGTTGCAACTCACTAAAGTGATAACTAGGCTCGTCTTCTTAATGCGCGCTTCACCTCTAGAGACTGCACCCCTTTCCCTAGGACCTGTTATGACTCTACTAATCGATCCTCATCTGGGATGGTCGAGAAGGACTCATAAGTGAGGGGGCGTGTTGGAATATCACTTGTGAGTTGCCCACATTGATTCTATAGGGAAAATTGGCTAGTTTATAAGCCTAGTGGGCTCCATCTCCCATCACCAATTGGTTTGGGATGGAATGGAATGGAACCTCACTAAGGTGATAACTAGGCTCAACCTTTTAAGGTGCGGGTTCACCTGTATGGGACCGCACCCCTTATAAATCTAACAAAAGTTACTTGCCCTTTTACCATGACACAAATTCTTTTTGGTTATTTGTTTTGTTCACAAATGCATTGGTAACTCTTTGGTAGTTGATTATTAATTCCACATGTCAACTGGGAGCCTAATTATGCAGATAAGAAAATAGGCCTCTTAGATTTTAGGCTTTCGCTTGAATTGTCTCATCAATAATAGAAACTCTATATGCTTTTTTAATGATTCTTATTTTTCACAGGTGTCAACTTGCCATGACAAGGAACATGCCGACTTACCTAGAGTCCCGTATGATTCGGGCAGAGAAGTTTCTGGTACTTCTCTGCCAGAAGGTGGTTCGGTTCCTGCATCAACTGATAGAAAATCTCTTTCGTCCTCAGTCACAGTACCATCAGAAGGGTGTCCTTCTATTTCTGATGCTACAGAAACCGACAGATCCAAGTTCACCGATCATCCAACTGATGAGGGACGAGATGATGGAAGCGAAGCGTCAAGCAGTGGGTCCCCTTGGTTCTTACTGCGAAAAGATGCAGTGACCTTTGTTTCGCATGCCTTGCAAAGGGGACGTAGGAACCTTTGGCAGCTTACAACGAGCCGTGTGTCAGTTTTGCTGTCTTCCCCAGCAGTTTATTCCTCCAGCATTCATCAATTTTTAAGAAATTATGAAGATCTGAGCATATTCATCCTTGCTGGGGAAGCTTTTTGTGGGGCAGAAGCAATTGAATTCCGCCAGAAACTCAAATCCATTTGCGAAGGTTATTTTTCTGCTTTTCACCGGCAGAATATATATGTAAGTCTTAACTCGCTGGAGTTCTGCTACTAATTCAGAGCATTTATTTGGTGTTTACATGATTATTTGATGTACTTGCATTTGCGTGAGAGTTTAGTTTCTCGGTATGATTTATGGCTTAAGTTTAGTCTTATGACTTGATGAACTCTAGCTTTACTTGGTTTTTCCAATGCCCACTAAATGCTATTTTCCCTCATTATCATCCACAACAACAGTTTTTTAGTCAACTTCTTCTACCTACATTTGTTCATGAAAGTGAAAATGTTGATTTATTAAGTCCATATGTTTTCTTTGCTCAAGTTCCTATTTTAATCACATTCATCGTGGGACTTGTATCATCAGGCTTTAAAAATGGTAATGGAGAAGGAGACTTGGCAGATATTGCCACTAGATACAATTCAAGTAGTTAGTTTCCCGGGATTGGTGGGTGATGGAGCCGCTCTCATAGTTTCATCTGACAAAGCTCCTAGTGCCAGATCACTGCATGACAACAGATCTGTTGGTACAGTTCTTAATGGGTCAAAGAAGGGTGGGTTCTCCTATTGGCAAGGAAATGGGAACCTTTTCCGGTCAAAACTGAGTGGCAGTTCTGAGGATTATTCCGATTTCTTTCACCACAATGGTTTGGCTACACAAGAAGCTCAAAATAATGATACAAGAACTCAACAAACTAGGACTTCTTCAAAAAGTGGTGATGAACACCATATAAATGGGGCGATTTCAGAGGATGAAAATGAAGATCTCCTTGCTGATTTTATTGATGAAGATAGTCAGCTTCCTAGTCGAATATTCAAGCCAAGTCATTCAAAGCATAACTCTTTACGTGGGAATGATGGGGATTTGACAGCACAAACTGGATCTTCTCTTAGCCTCCTCAGGTGAGCCCTAGATACTTCTACTCTGAGTCTGTGAAATGTCAAAATTTCATATATCATTAAGCTTTGTATGCTGTTTTATGAATTAGATTGATGGACAAATATGCAAGACTGATGCAGAAATTAGAAATCATCAATGTTGAGTTCTTTAAGGTAGGCTCGTGTATGTTAATTTCTCTAATTAGCACATGGTGTTTAGCTGTTCCACCGTTTATCTTGATATAAGTGTATTTGCATTTCCTTATTTCTAATCTGTCTGCCTCAATAATAGCATTCTTAATGTTTCAACAGGGAATTTGCCAGTTGTTTGGGATTTTTTTCCATTTTGTATTTGAGTCGTTCTGTGAGCATAATGCTCAACCTAGTGGAAAAGGTTTACACGACTCTATTCCTTGTAAGTATTTGTAAGACTTTGATATCATTAGCATTTCTGTGTGTGTGAGTTGAAGTGAAAATTGATACAGGATGTTTGTTTTATGCCCCTTCGCCAGACAAGCTAAAGGCTGCACTATCAAGAATCACACAAGATTGTGACCAGTGGATAAAACCACAGCCTACCTCAGTGTCGTCTTCGTCCCCAACTTCTTCAGGTGCACCATTCAGTAATGTGGATGTAACTCCTACCAGTCCTGCAAGTCACATAAATCATACATCCTTTTCGCTCAAGGTATTTGGTGTAGACTATCATTATTATTATTATTATATTATTATTATTATTATTATTATTATTATTATTATTATTATTATTAGTAGTAGTAGTAGTAGTAGTAGTAGTAGTAGTAGTAGTATTAGTAGTAATAGTAATAGTAGTATTAGCATTTATTTAATATTATTATTTAGTGGCTTGGTGGAAAGGTTTAGGGTTAGGAGCCTTATATAAAGGACTCCATCTAGTTTTCCTTGGTTGATTATGAATTATTGAATGATGTAGATTATTATTATTCATCAACATCATCATCAACATCAACATACCCAACATACCCAGTATATTCCCAAACAAGTTGGGGTCTGGGGGGTCAGTTGTACGCAGACCTTACCCTTGTAATTATACAAGGAGGCTGTTTCCATATTTAG